TGCTGGCTGGGACCCAGGGCCGGCTCCACTCTCTGCCCTCCATCCCTCCCTCCCTCCCTCCCTCTGGTGGCCGCTCCACACAATTTTGCCAGCAGAGAGCAAACTGCAGACTCATCCCCCCCATTCCCCCCTCCCTCCAAGCCAGGGTCTCCGGCTTCCAGCACAGCCTTCGAGGGGTCCACGGAGCACAGCAGGTTGAGAGCTCCCCATCCGGCCGCCTGGAATACGATCCCCGTGCCCCACCCCAAGGAAAGGTGGGTGCAGGTGTTATGCCCAGATTTCAAGATCCCCAAGGACACCACACCAGGGAACTAGCCAGTTCGATGCGAAAGCAGAGGGTCTCTTATACAAGCTCGCGTGGTCCCCCCCTTGCCTCCATTACTGGGGGCAGCGGAGAGCCCCGAGTCCCCAGAGAACAAAGAATTTATAGGGCTTGGGGTCGGGGGGGGTGGGGCAGGGTGCAGCTAGGGTCTGGTTACACAAAGACAGGGGGGTGGCCAGCACACTTTTTGGCCTTGGGCTAGTTTCCCCCGCTTTTCCATTGGCCGAGATAAGGGCAGGCTGAGTAACTGACACACCCTGAAGGACACAGCCATCAGTCCTGCTGTTCTTTCATAGGCGGCCGCTTCATGGGCCAGGGAGGGTGTCATGTCAGGGTGAGGCCGGGACCAGCGCCCTGGGCCCCGAGGGTGCCCCGGGAAATTGGGCATCTCCACGGGGCAGGTCAGCCCGTGAAGCCTGAGACTTTCGGGGCACAGGGGCTCCTCCATTCCTGCGCCTAGAACGGGGAGGACGAGGAACCGCCCTAGGTTGGGGGCGGGAGCAGAGGGGCCGGTGAGAGGAAGGCGGGATGTGGGACACAGAATGGCAGGCACAGGGCTTCTCACTAGGACTCCATTTGGTCCTCTTTCAGGACAGCAGCTCCTCCCGGATGGAGCCTGTGTCTGGGGAACCAGCAGGTTGCTCGCTCTTGGAGGCACCCGCCCCGGAGCCAGGTGTGCACTGCTGTCCTGAGGCCTGGCGGCTCCCCCAGCGCCCAAGCCTCCATCTACTTTCCTGCAAACCCAGTGCCTTCCTGCGGCCAGAAGACGACCTGGGGGGGGGACGGCAGGAGCACCTCGGAGCTGGGCTGGGGGGGACATGTGTGGGCTCAGCTGAGCACAGGAGGAAGCAGGTGAGCCCTCAGCATCTGGACCCCTTTTCTCTCTAGGTCTCTGACTTGCACCGCCGTCTTCCCAGGATGCAACGGGCCTGTCAAGTCTCTGCTTCCACCTGCAGCCTAGGGAGGGCCCGGAGGCGCCCACAGCAGAAGGGGCCTCCGAGCCCTGAGGGAGGCAAAGGCAAAAGCGTCTTCTGCTCAGAAGCAAAGCCTGGAGGGGACTGCGTGACTGGAGACGCCCTCCGCCTGGGACCTCAGCAGAGATGGGCGCCACCGCCTGGGCCTCGGCCTGGAGATCACCGTCCATCCCCACTCCCCCTTCCCTGAGCTTAGATCACCCTAGAGTGGCCTAGTTTAGTAAGGGAGAGAGAGGTTCCAGGGCCTAACTTGGCTTAGCGTACCTCAGAGGAGCATAGGTTAGTGAGGCAGACGAGACCATTCCCGACTTAGCTTACCTTAGCCTAGAGTAGCTGAGGGAACGTTAAGGACCTATCTTAGCTTAGCCTAGCTTAGCCTAGAGTACCTAGGTTAGGGAGGCAGACGAGACCACTGCGGGCTTAGCTTAGCTTAGGCTAGAGCAGCTGAGGGACCTTCTAGGTAGCTTAGCTTAGCTTAGCTTAGCCTGGAGTAGCCACGGTTAGGGAGGCAGACAACAACACTGCAGACTTAGTTTAGCTTAGCGTAGGATAGAGAGTAGCTGAGGGACCTTACCTTAGTAGCCTAGATTAGGGAGGCAAAAGAGGCCATTGCGGATTTAGCTTAGCATAGAATAGAATAGCTGAGGGAATGCTGACAATTGGCTTAGATTAGCTTAGGTTAGCTTTGCTTAGCTTACCCTAGAAGAATCTAGGTTTGGGAGGAGGACTACACCATTGTGAACCTAGGTTACCCTACAGTAACCTGCAGTACTCTAGGCTAAGAGAAGGGAAGCGCAGTCTACTGAGGTCTCATCTACTACATTATCCTAGGAAACACTAGGTTAAACAAGGCTATGTCCACAATGGTCTCATCCGCCTGACTAAGCTAGGCTGCCACATGGTAACCTAACCTATCTGAGCTAAGCTAGCCTAGGTCCTCTAAGGTCCCTCAGCTACTTTAGCCTAAGCTAACCTAGTTCCTCTAAGGTACCACAGATACTCTAGCCAAAGGTAAGGTAAGGTAAGCCACATCCTGTAAGGTCCCTCAGCTACTCTATCCTAAGCTAACCTACGCTAGGTCCTCTAAGGTCCCTCAGCTACTCTAACCTAAGGAAAGCTGAGGTTCCATAGGTCCCCTAAGGTACCTCAGCTAGTCTAGCATAAGCTAAGCTAAGCTAAGCTAAGCTAGGTCCTCTAAGGTCCCCCAGCTACTCTAGCCTAAGCTAAGCTACGCTAGGTCCTCTACTGTCCCTCAGCTACTCTAGCCTAAGCTAAGTTAAGCTAGGTTCTCTAAGGTCCCTCAGCTAAACTAGCCTAAGCTAAGGTAACCTAGGTCCTCTAAGGTCCCTCAGCTACACTAGCCTAAGCTAAACTAAGCTAGGTCTTCTAAGGTCCCTCAGCTACTCTAGCATAAGGTAAGCTAAGGTAGGTCCTCTAGGTCCCACAGCTTCTCTAGCCTGAGATAAGCTAAGCTAAGCTAGGTCCTCTAAGGTCCCTCAGGTACTCTAGCCTAAGCTAAGTTACGCTACGTCCTCTAAGGTCCCTCAGCTACTCTAGCCTAAGCTATGCTACGCTATGTCCTCTAAGGTCCCTCAGCTACTCTAGCCTAAGCTATGCTACGCTATGTCCTCTAAGGTCCCTCAGCTACTCTAGCCTAAGCTAAGCTACGCTAGGTCCTCTAAGGTCCCACAGGTACTCTAGCCTCAGATAAGCTATGCTACGTCCTCTAAGGTCCTTCAGCTACTCTAGGCTAAGCTACGCTACGTCCTCTCAGGTCACTCAGCTACTCTAGCCTAAGCTAAGCTACGCTAGGTCCTCTAAGGTCCCTCAGCTACTCTGGCATAAGGTAATCTAAAGTAATATCGGTCCTCTAAGGTCCCTCAGGTACTCTAGCATAAGCTAAGCTAAGCTGGTCCTCTAAGGTCCCTTAGCTACTCTAGCCTAAGCTAAGCTACACTAGGTTCTCTAAGGTCCCTCAGCTACACTAGCCTAAGCTAAGCTACGCTACGTCCTCTCAGGTCACTCAGCTACTCTAGCCTAAGCTAAGCTACGCTAGGTCCTCTAAGGTCCCTCAGCTACTCTAGCCTAAGCTAAGTTACACGAGGTCTTCTAAGGTCCTTCAGCTACTATAGGCTAAGGCAAGCTATGCTACGTCCTCTAAGGTCCCTCACCTACTCTAGCCTGAGCTAAGCTACGCTCGGTCCCCTAAGGTCCCTCAGGTACTCAAGCCTAAGCTATGCCAAGCTAAGCTAGGTCCTCTAAGGTCCCTCAGCTACTCTAGCCTAAGCTAAGCTATACTAGGTTCTCTAAGGTTCCTCAGCTACTCCAGGCTAAGCTAAGCTAAGCTACGCTAGGTCCTCTAATGTCCCTCAGCTACTCTAGCCTAAGCGAAGCTAAGCTAGGTCCTCTAAGGTCCCTTATCTACTCTAGACTTAGCTAGGCTAAGCTAAGCTAAGCAAAGCTAAGCTACGCTTGGTCCTCTAAGGTCAGCTAAGCTAAGCTAAGCTAAGTTATCTAAGCTACGCTAGGTCCTCTAATGTCCATCAGCTACTCTATCCTAAGCTAACCTAAGCTAGGTCCTCTAAGGTCCCTCAGCTACTCTAGCCTAAGCTAAGATAAGCTAGGTCTTCTAAAGTCCCTCACCTACTCTAGCCTAAGCTAAGCTATGCTAGGTCCTCTAAGGTCCCTCACCTACTCGAGCCTAAGCTAAGCTACGCTAGGTCCTCTAAGGTCCCTCACCTACTCGAGCCTAAGCTAAGCTACGCTAGGTCCTCTAAGGTCCCTCACCTACTCTAGCCTAAGCTAAGCTACGCTACGTCCTCTACTGTCCCTCAGCTACTGTAGCCTAAGCTAAGTTGAGCTAGGTCCTCTAAGGTCCCTCAGCAACTCTAGTATTATAGCCTAAGCTAAGCCAAGCTAGGTCCTCTAAGGTCCCTCAGCTACTCTAGCCTAAGCTAAGCTAAGCGAGGTCCTCTGAGGTCCCTCACCTACTCAAGCCTAAGCTACGCTACGCTAGGTCCTCTAAGGTCCCTCAGCTACTCTAGCCTAAGCTACACTAAGCTAAGCTAAGCAAACCTAAGCTAAGCTAGGTCCTCTAAGGTCCCTCAGCTACTCTAGCCTAAGCTAAGCTACGCTAGGTCCTCTAAGATCCCTCAGCTACTCTAGCCTAAGCTAAATTACGGTAGGTCCTCTAAGGTCCCCCAGCTACTCTAGCCTAAGCTAAGCTACGGTACGTCCTCTAAGGTCCTTCAGCTACTCTAGCCTAAGCTATGCTACGCTAGGTCCTCTTAGGTCCCTCAGCTACCCTAGCCTAAGCTACACTAAGCTAAGCTAAGCAAACCTAAGCTAAGCTAGGTCCTCTAAGGTCCCTCAGCTACTCTAGCCTAAGCTACGCTATGCTAGGTCCTCTAAGGTCCCTCAGCTACTCTAGCCTAAGCTAAGTTACCCTAGGTCCTCTAAGGTCCCTCAGGTACTTTAGCCTAAGCTAAGCTAAGCTAAGCTACGCTAACCTATGCTAGGTCCTCTAAGACCCTCAGCTACTCTAGCCTAAGCTAAGCTATGCTAGGTCCTCTAAGGTCCCTCAGCTACTCTAGCCTAAGCTAAGTTACCCTAGGTCCTCTAAGGTCCCTCAGGTACTCTAGCGTAAGCTAAGCTAAGCTAAGCTAAGCTAACCTATGCTAGGTCTTCTAATGTCCCTCAGCTACTCTAACCTAAGCTAAGCTAGGTCCTCTAAGGTCC